TTCCGAGGGGGGGGGGATAGGCTACCAGGATAGCCAAGTGTTCAACTTGCAAGGGGGTTACTGGCTCCTATATTCTTTATAATTGTGCTTCTATCCGGCTCATGAACACTTGACAGCACTTCGGTGTGTATGAGTTGTGTGATTTTTTTTTAGTTCAGTGACTTAAGAGTTGTGCCTCTAACCCTTTCCACTACCGCCCACAAGATGGGTATGGGGTGCATAATAAATGAACTAAACTAAAACTAAGGGAAGAGTTGTCACGAGCTCACATTACAGAGGCCAATATCCAGTTGGTCGTCGACAAGGTCAACCTTCACAATCAAATTGCAATGTTTCAAGCCAAGAGGATAAACGGCTAGAACCACTGTAGGAATAAGCCCAAACGTGTACTGGCCGGCGAGCATGACGTGATAGTGGGCCACTTGAACGGACGCGACCCCTACCGCACTGACCGAGCTGCCGCTTATCCTCGCCGTGAAGGATCAATACGTATCGACTTTACCATTTGCAGTAACATAATCTGGGCTATTTACCTGAGCTCCGCAAACGTCGCAGTGCTCTTGCCATTCCACACCCACCATTACCTGTTTCTTGTCTAAGCTTCGTCAAAACTCTGAACAATTCTTAAAATTCAAATTCAAATGTTTATTCAGGTAAAGTGTGATACACATACAAGGTATGATACAAATATTGATGAATTTATAGATAGAGCTAGTACATACAATGCCTAAAGCCACTATTAGGCATCTTCACTTGTAAGGATTGATAGTTTTTCAAAACTAAGCGGGTCAAAACCATCAGAGTGCGTCCCATAGTGAAGAGTTAAATGTAAAATTCGTGGGCGCGTGAGCCGGGGTGGGTTGTGAGAGGCGCCAGGCAGGCAATGGTGGTGACTCACAGGAAGGGAAAATGACCGCCTCCCCGCCAAACCACTACCTCCACCCTCACCACCCCCTCCCTGGTCTCACCCACCCATCATTTCCACCATCTTTAATTGCATTAACACAACCTGATTCAGTAACGGCATCAGTAATAACCATTTATAAGCTTGGCGACATTTACACTTCTATTGTTGATGTATACGATTAATTAATAGCTTATTTTACATAACTGTATTTGTAATAAAGCCTCATTATCGCATTGCACAAGTAAAAATGTACATCTACCTCAATTTCAGAATAAAATCCAAACTCTTCTAACAGAGGAAAACATCAAGAAGCGCTGTACATAATTAGGGAGTGAAAGTTGTGACCTTCACACTATTTAGTCATCAAGTCTCATATGCTCTTACCGGGTAAGTCTTACATACCGGGTTTATGCAGTATCTGCACACAATAGTACCATCCTTCTAAATATTACGCACACACTTATGGCCATGAAGATGTCTTCAGAAAAAAGTTAAGCAATATTTCCTCTTCTATAAGTTCGTTTCCATGACGCCTCCACATTGTAATGGCCAAATTCACATTTATTCTGATGTACCCCCATAAATTGTACATTTTATCAGTGTCTTAGTTTGTGTAACTACACCTTACAAATGTAGCGCTTCACCTAGTCCTTAAACCATAAAAAATCAGTAAATCCTTCACTCCACATTCGCCTTCCGCTGATTTTCTCTGCTCTTGACAGTAGCAGAGAATCTCATAGTTTTGTTGCCCATCCGGTCTGGGACAAGTCTCTACCACCATGCCGAACTCTCAGCACACCACCTCTAAACGCCATCCTCCTCAAGCCCAATAAGTTAATATAAAATACCTGGAACACCACCACTGAGGAAGCAGGAGGACAAGGACGAGGGGGAATTGCGGAGGAACAGACACTAACAATTAGACCAGAGTTCCGCCTTCCTTGCAAACTGACAGACATCCTCTCTTGCTGGCCCTTCTTCAAATGCCTACTACACACCATCCTTAACCTAAAATAATCGATCATGGAAAGTTTCAGTTACTCATGAGCCCCATGCCTATGCTGTGGACGATGGTTTAAAACTTGAGGCACACAGCCACCCAACCAAAACGTCTGAAAAGAAAGGAAGTGACACTTTGGCACGTTCTGGAAAGGTGAAAAGATAAGTAAACGGTTAACATAAGAATAATGGACACTGCCGAAGACCTAATGACGAAGAGGTGGTGAAATAAAGAGCAAGGAATAGAACAGAAAGAGCCTAACGGGACAAAGAGCTGTCAGATCACGTTTGCCAAGTTAGACCATTTAACCGTCTCCAGAAAAGCAAGAGTCAACTGCAAGTAAGCCAAGATGAAGGATCATGTTGGGCATGTGTATGAAAGCCGATTCTACAAGATGGTGTTTGTGAAGAAGAGGAAGGAACGATTAATTTGGACAGACTAATCTATAGGATGATTAGTCCCTAACATGACAGAAGAGAGCACTGTTCTTGTCTGCAGATTTTCAGTCAGTTTTGTGACTTACTATCTGCTTAAGTCACAATGGGGGTTCAGCAATTAGAGCCAAATATTCTTATTTTTTAGCAATTTACATTTATGGTGGAACTAGTTATCAATTTTCATCTGTCACCAGCCCTCAAGTAAAGACGGGCCCCGTAAACATTTTCTTCCTGTGTTGGATTTACAATGGACCATGGTGCAGTGTTGCGGCTCAACCAGAGCCCATAAATAGCCCCCTCATACTAAATAAAAAATATTAATATAATTATAGTATGCTATGTATCTTCAAGGCAAGAAAGCAATGGAATAATAGTTTTCTTTCATTATAAAGTTTAATGAAGCACATGTACAGTATTTGATGGTTGACCGTTGTTGTTTTGAATTACATACACGATATGTAGGGATACCATAATCTTTTCAGTACTTAGGGTCTCTAAAGGGTCTTAATCCGGCCGTGTCCATCGTGCATGTCACACCATCTATGGCGGTGGGAAGGTTAGTCACCTGCATGCACCATCTACGGCAGGCAAACTTGGTATATTTAGCTATGATTTCTGGTAGTGAAGGGGAACCGTAAGTGTACATGTACACTGCAGGGCTCTTGTAGTTGGTGATTTTGGAGCTTAGCGTCCCCGCGGTCCGGTCCTCGACCAGGCCACCTTTTTGTTACACATCACCAGGAAGCAGTCCGTAGCAGCTGTCTAACTCCCAGGTACCTATTTACTGCTAGGTGAACAGAGGCATCAGGGTGAAAAACTTTGCCCATTTGTTTCCACCTCCACCGGGGATAGAACTCGAAACCTCAGGACTACGAATCCGAAGTGCTGTCCACTCAGCTGTCAGGTCCCATCAAGTCAGGGGCCTGGGTGTCGGGGTTTCCCAAACTCTAGTCATTACCCCTTTCTCGTATAGCGTGCTTATTACTGGCCCCTACACTCGGTAATGGCCCCCGTCTGGTGTCATAACATGCACACTGCATCAACTTATGGCCCCCCAAATAGCCCTCTCAGTTTGGTAACCAGTGAATTGAACAGTATATTATTTGAGTGTGTGTACTGTGAGCAGAGTATCCATCTGGTTTAAGGACGCGTAGAATTCGGAATGGGTAATCTCTCACGGAGCACGAAAATGCCCTTCTTGTCCCTTTTGATAATGACAGTGAATCTGATTAATAAAACTATAATAATCATTTTTAGGGTCACTAGAACTTTTGTACAATAGTTGGGGTATACTAGCCTAAGCATATTGATACTACTGTAATGTAGCATGAATTATCCTAATGGATTTGAGGCACTAGACTAAGCAGAGGTGCAGTGCAGTCAACTCGAGTCATTACATGCGAGCTATTGTATGTAATTTTAGCAATTCTGGCATTGATGCCATACTACCATAGTTTGTATGACTGCCCAGCCGTTATCAAACTCAGCCTCTATATGGTTACAAGGCTCCACAGTGGGTGGCACCTGTACTGTATTTAAAACAGCGACTATCAAAATATAACACTTGTAAACAAGTAAAATCTAATGACTGTATATATATTATTTTATTGTCGAACACATGGACCATTCTGTCTACTTTAAGAGGGTCAAGTGCGATTGATTTTTTCCATGGTTGCAGCAAGGTCCCCAATTGAAGACTGGCCAACGTACGACCACGCGGGCGGCCTTCCCAACCCTGTGTCCAACACCTAACGATTACTTCGCGGTTAGTAACAAGTCAAACCCACGAATAATTAAATACTAATCAAGACGAGCCACGCACTCAATATTCATATTTACATAGTACAATAGCAACAGTGAAACTGACAGGCGTTCACGTTGCCTGCCGGCTTGGCCACGCCCAGTTTTGGCCAAAGGGCAAGCCTTCACCTTAGGATGGAGGAACGGATATATATGATATATTTATTTTACATCCTTACACAAATGCAAATGTAATAATTTTTGATGATCATCTAACGTTAAGGGCTTTATGGCCCAATATTCGACACTATCAACGGGGTATACTTCTGAACAGGCCAATATCTTTCTTAAACAAGTCTGCATAAACGTTTTCCAACAAACAAATAACTGACGAGAACACAAGAACACAACACTTTTGTAGGCATCATTGCCTATAAATACAAAATTCTCAAGGAAACAATACATGTAGCACCTGCTTGCCTCTCCTGCTCCCTCTTGGTCCTCTGGCTCCCTCTCCCTGGCCCTCCCTCTCAGGCTCTCTCCTTCCCAAATGTTTATCCTGAACCCTTCCAAGTGCTATATAGTGGTAATGGCTTGGCACTTTCTCCCGAGTTCCCTTCCCTTCGCTCTCTCCCGTCCCTCCCTCTTGGCCCTGTGCGTCTCTGCCTCTTGGCTCTCCCCGTCCCACCCTATTGACCCTTCCACTCCCTCTTGGAGCCCTCTCGCTCACCAATTCCATCTGCACCCCTGGCGTGCTCTTCCCGCTATAATATACCCTCAGCCAAACGTGCAGATCACCCCTCATAAAATACTATCACCAAAATTGGGGCCAAAATTGTTCTAACGTTGCCATGGGTCAAGAAGACCCATGGCAACGTTAGGTAGGGGATGTTGGGGGTTTGTGTTCCGCTGTTACCTTGTGTAGTGACAAACGTTGCAGGGGCTGGTATGCAGGCCGTGGTGGGCGGCCGCTGGGGTGGCAAATGTGGTGGTGATTCAACACCGACCCGCCACCTCTCACACCCCACCCTAAACTCCACACAAAATAAAACTACACCTAAATGCCTCGCACCACGCGCGGGACGCCGGTCACGCTAAATATCCTCATAAATGAGAAAATTGGCAGTGGAAGTGTGGCGCTCACGCCACCGAGAGAGAAGGACGGTATCAACACACACCTTCCACAACGACTGACTCAACACTGGCCCCGACCCAGGCCGGCCCTCACAAGGAACGCCGCCGCCGCCACGGTCGCCATACCGCCACCAACCTCACATTCAAACTCCTCTCCTCTCATCATGCAACTCATTGGTCCTCTTTATGCCACGGCCAACACTCTTCCTACAATTCCCCATGTATACATAGTACATAAGCACCAAGCAAACATTCGAAATAATTCTATTCAAATGGAGTTTGGAGGTATTTGGCAATAAGCCTTGATCTTGGCAAAGGGACTGAACTGCCCCGCCCTAAAGTACGTCAACTTACCACAATCAAACAACACAGTACGCTATATTTATTTTAATATACATATTAAATAACATCAATTACTATGTAATCGCAGACGCTCTATTCTGTTTTTGATAATATATTATGATTACATATACAGTATATATAAATATATACTCAAAATACCTACGTCTGGCACGCTGGGACTCGACGGGTGGGTCGAGTCCAACTTATCTTACCCACCAGCACGCAGACGCACAAAACCCAGACAATAAGGTATGGTTAAACTAGTTCACTTAATAAAATCCCCTACAGATAAAATGATAAAAAATTAGCATGGTATTGTATTTTCCCTTTACGTTAATTGCTTGTATTAGACTGTAGTAGCATAGTACGGCACTGCATTTGTTGGTGAGAACATGCGCCAAAATTTGCTTTCCCAAGGCGAATGATAAAAATATATGTTTATGTCATGTACTATTTGGAGTCGTTATTTAAGTAACAATATACAATGTAACCTCCTGAAATGGCGAAACTTCAAACAACAATCACATAACAAGCACCTTAAACTCTCCAAGGATGCTTACACACTTGCAACACACTTAGAAACGGCAACTGAATTTAATAGCTTCTTTTCTGTTATTGTGTGCCTGTTGCATGAATGATCAAATCCTTGTTCAATCTTGTGTATTTCCCCATCTCCTCCCGTACTTTTGCTGTTTGTGCTCTCTCTATTTTGTTCCGCTCTGCTTCTGTCTGCGCATAAAAAAGTTCAGAACTTTGAGTTGTCGTCTATCCATCGACAACACACACTGGCATGGAATTCTGAGCAGTTGAGGTCCTATTTCTTGCCAATCGTCAATTAAGAACTTACATTATGGTGAAAATACCTGTACCCTCTCTATGTTCCAAAATTACATTTTATCTTTCTAAGCAAATTCATGCATTTAAAGGTGATATGATATCTACATTTTGCACCTTCGTTTTCATTTCTGCATATTACCTTTGAATAATATTGAACCCTTGAAATGCGCATAAGATAAATCAAATTCTCTCTCTCTTTAGAAACAATATTTTAATAAGTGTCTTCCTATACTGTATTGCAAAAAAAAAAAAAAAACATGCCTTGACTTTGATTTTGCTTATTATAAACCTCACACCCAGTCTGTGGTGGTGGTGGGATATATTAACATACAATGGGGTCAGCATCTTAATCCCAAAATTAATTTAACTAAGCAAGTTACAATCTTAAGCTAGTTACACATCTAAATATACAGTAGCAATACTCTTTCATAGCACAATTGGTTCAAGAAATGGACCACACCACTCTCTAAGCTGAGCAATTTACACCTTCGTGAGCCATTTGCATATGGTGTAATTGACTAATCATGCACACCACACCCATCCTGTGGGTGGTAGTGAAAAACATTTCCACTGGTGCATGCACAACCAAGTACTATAGGAAAATGTACAAAATATTAATCTAGTCACTTTTCAAGAGGCCTCTTATATAAATTAGGAACTCTGCATACTGTACCTGTGGGAGTTTTAAAAGTTTCAAGGTGCTTAAAAAGTCTTGGGATGATATGTGCACCATGGGTTGATCTTGTGATAATATCCATATTTCAAGTGGTTTGAAGTTTTATCCTTTGGGGTAAATTTGCCAGACACTAACTACATCTGCATTCATTTGTCAAGTTCTGTTTACTGATTTTTCTAATGTAATTTGTATTTTATCCACCTGTGTAGTTTCCTTTGGAAATATGAAAACTATTATTGGGTGTCTTGACAATATTGTTATTACTGCATTTCATGAACATACCCATAACACCCCTCTCCCTCCTCCCATATTTTTATATAATACACACTGTATATTAAGGGGCATCTTGTCTCTCCCAACATATCTCGCAACTATTTTCCCAAACCTGCTTCATCTGGACGAGTCACTAATTCCCCAAGTTTAGGACTTTGCAATTAGCAATGTTAAATTTCATCTGCCACTTTTGTGCAACATAATGAGGTATTTCTGGGTTTCAAGAGTCCTTTTTCGAGTTTATCATCCCATTTTCGTGTCATATAAACTTGGTATTACAAGCAGTTTCCAATTTTTTAATACTTATAGCAACAATTGGGGGAGTGTACAAAAAAAGGGTAGTTGCACCCCAAGCAAGTCCCTTTGTACTTTTAATTTTGAACAAACATGAGGAAAAGTGACTTTACCATTCAACATCTAGGTCACTGACATGAAACAAGGCCCCAGTACAGACCCCCTTTGGGCACACCACTAAGTCTTTCTCCACTTGACTTCACCCCTGTTAATGCTAACACTGCTTCTGTCCTTCAACCTAGCTCAGATCCAATAGAGAACTTTCCCTCCACTATCAAATACTTCAACCTTGCTGATCAGCCTCTGATGGGGTAGTGTCAAAGGCCTTATTAATATCAAGATAGACAACGTAACAAGTTATTACTGTTGACGGCTTCAAATATGCTTCTAAAGAAATACTGTATACTGTAACGTATGGGAGATAAGATCACCTTTGCAAGAAATCGTGCAGTATTTGTGTGTGTCAAGGCATTTTCTTATTGAATTTTATATTATAGCCTCAAGGATCATTCCCACTATCAACATCAGGCTAATCAGATGGTAGTTCAAAGCTAGGGTTCTGTCCAGTTTTTTAACATCGGGACCACAGTGCTTTCACTCCTGGCAGTAGGGACTATTCTGAGTAAAGTGATTCACTGAATATTCTTATTTGTCGGTCAGAGTTTCTCTCTGCACTCCCCCCAATACTCTGCTAAACATCTCATTTAAGCCTCAGTTATAATTTTTCAATTTAATTTTAACAGCTTTATGAACCTATTTTAACAGCTTTATGAATCTAAATATTACCTAGTTTATTTTCATTGCCTTCCCATGTACAGTATTGCTTCTATCGTGCAAAGGTTAACAAGGTCTTAGCTGCCAAACAACGAAGCAAATTAGCTATTCAGTATACAGTATTTCTCACTTCTGTCTCATCAGTTACCAGCAGAGGGAACATTTTGTTTTTAATGGCCATCTTCTCCACCACTTTGGTCTGTTGAAGCTGGAAAATCTTTAGAATTTCATTTTTGCATTTTGGTTACCCTGGCTTCATAAGCATTTAATATCCTCTTAATTTTTCTAACCGGTTTAAAAGCTGGGACTTCTCTTTTGCATCTATGTACAATTAAGTGCTACAACTTCCTTAAAGGGGCCTGAATCACATTTATTTTTTATTTTTAAGGGTAACATTAAAAACATCCAGTTCTTATGAAACTTTATTTACAAAATCTAACTTATAAAATGAACCTCCAGCTCAAATTTCAGGATTGCAACCTGAAACAGCCCATCCTCATAAACAAAGTCCATTCCATACACCTGCCAAACCCCATTTATGAATGAAAAACGGTTTACATACAACTCAACTGATAACATTCGAACACTCCTCGAACAAGTGCTTCACTGATGACTTTTGTTTGAACTACAACGTAGTAAATGCTTCACCCATGTACTACAAATACAAAAATAATCGCCAATTGGTTATACACCTAACCAATTTCTAAATACTGTATGTACAGTATATAATAATATTAATTTATATTTGAGAAAATTCCTATTTTGATTGAACAGCATGATAAAATTGATGAATGCATCTTTGGGGTCAACCATTGGATGAAATGGACTTGGTCTGAGGATGGGTTGCCCGAATTTATTCCAAATTATTCCAGTTAAGAAATGAAGAACCAATAACAGGAAACTTTAGAATTCTTAAGGCAAGCTTGACCTCTGCCCCAGGTCTCAATGTTATCACAGTTCATACCCCATATGTATGGGAGTGGTCACAGTTCAAGGCTATACTGGTCAGGGAGTGTATAATGCTGTCCAAAATGTGGCAGAATGTTTGCTACGTCACTTTTCTATTCGCGAGTTTTTGGTTAGGTTCAGAAAATTTAGTAAATCCTTTTTTTGCACTAACTCTAGAGAACAGGTTGCACCAAATACTGGTACTGTATCTGAAACTCATTTCAACACTTGCAACTGAACTCCCCCAAACTTTACCAAACCAAGTAGAAAGCTATAATAGTAACATATGCTTTATACCATATCAACACCATTGGGGGTGCTATATTAAGTTGGATTAGGGCATGGCTATACCAAAGGAAACAGAGTTAGTATAAATGGGGTTAAGTCAAAGTCAGTCCTACTTATACCATAATATATAACATTGTGACTTGTTGAGTTTGAAACCGTTGCTTCTTGTTTGTGTTACATCTGTTGAGGCAGTTGATAGTGGTAAGGATTGTGATGTGTACCTTCACTTTAGCAAAGCTTTTGATAGTGCCACATGAAAAACTGAATAAAAAGATAGAGGTTCATGGTATTGAGGGTGCTATATTAAGTTGGATTAGGGCACGGCAATACCAAAGGAAACATAGTATAAATGAGGTTAAGTCAAAGTGGGAAAATATTGTAAGTGGAGTGCCTCAAGGCTCTGACCTGGGACCTCTGTTGTTTATAATATATATAATTGATTTAGATTCTGGTTTGAGTAACAACATTTGCAAATTTGCCGATGATACAAGAATCGGTTGGGAAATTAACACAGAAATCTTAACAATCTAAAAAGAAAATTAACAATCTTTCATTTGAGGAAAGATTAACAAAGCTTAAATTGCATTTACTGGAAAGGCGAAGAGTTATAGGTAACATGATAAAGGTTTACAAGTGGATGAATGGACATA